AATTGAAGTGTACGATAGGTGTTACGAAACGTGTAGTATAAGCTAGCTACGAAATAACAGTGAAATTATTTTGAAAAGTATTATTATCTGATGAATAATCTTCATATAAATGTTAACTAACTACTGTATTACTCACAGTCGATGACGAACGAACAAACGGACAAAAATTCATAGTTTTATACCAGACATTTTTTTATCATTAACATTAATGATAATTTTTTATTATTAACATTAATGATAATCACGTATGAATTATTCATTATGTAATGAATGACTGTGGAGTCATGTGCGTCATTGTATGTATTGTAAATTACGATCGTTGAACAATAAGAATTCTGTTGTTACTTTTAACAATTCGAAAGTGCACACACACGATAATTTCTACGATGATGTTATGCGTTATACAAACCAATTTGAAGTTTCATTCGCTATAATGAGGTGCAATTATGATTAGGTTAGTAATGTCCGAAATTTCTAATAAATTCGAAAATTTTGTAGAAGCTAAGAAATATTTACTGCAGATACTGGGAAATGTTACGTTACATTAATAAGACAAAATATTTGCTGGAATTCTATAATTACGATAATGACGTTTTATTATACTGCTAAGTCTGAAATCTCTTGTAATATACATGTACATTCATAAATACAATGGCGAATACGCAATTAAAAATTTACAAAAAAGAAAAAGAATAATACCAAAATACTAAATAATAATAAAATAATAAAATAATACAATAATACTAAATAATAATAAAATAATAAAATAATACAATAATACTAAATAATAATAAAAGAAGAAATATAATATAATTAAAAATATAATTTTATTAAATGATATTAAATATAATATAATTAAAAAGAAATAGTTAAACAAATAAAAAGAAAAAATATAATACAATCAAAGAAACAAGTTGCAATATTCGATAAATGGGACATAATTTCTACATGTCGATAATAAATGTGTGGAACATATTGGTATTTAGGTTCGATTTAGGGTTCGGTAAATATTTACTTTGACGACATTAGGGAAACATTAGACATTAAAATTATACACAAATAAATACAATTCTACAGAACATCTCGTCACTGCAAAAATCTAAATGATTTCACGTTTTTTTCCGGGAGGAAGTACATGTTGTATTCTTCCTACGTTCTGTATTATATCGTTGGCATTCAAGAGAATCGAGTATCAGCAAGCGTAATTATCTATAACGACGTTAAGGTTTATACACACACCGATGCGACAGAAGAAATTCAAAAATATTAGAACAGAGCGATAAATCACAAACATCGAACATTGTAAGATTACTTCCATTCTAAAGTTTTCTTAAAATAGAAGCTTGAGTTCTTTAACATTTTTGTATTTTCCCTTGCATGATAAATGTTCTAATTAATGTTTGTCAGTACAGAGGCAGCGTTAATTAAATACTAATGAGGAAGAGATAATGTAAGATATGAATAAGCATAAATATTCGCGGTCTAGTTGCAACCATTCTCGGCGGTAAAGATCTGAATGAGGAAACGAGAGAAATATCGGAACGATATGCAAACAACACATACGCGAGTGTTAATAACTCTCTTAATAACCTGTTATTAGTTATATAATTCGCGACTCGGCAGTGACTACGCAGTCAACTATCGGCTGTTGGTGAAGGCAAGTCCTATCTATGTCATTTGTAAACTGGAAGATTGACCATGATTCACTTCGTAGAGTTCGGATTTTACTCGCCAGAAACAATAGTTTATCGTATATGTCTGAGGAGATTCCATTTTCGAAGAAACGAAGAGTATCAGATCTTCAAGTTCTGTATTCGAGAATATTTGCGAGAGTGGAATCACATGCACAGACACCGAACAAATCGTAAAAGTCGAGTCAAGAGAGGCAAAGTGACAAACACATAAAAATTACATGATACTTGCATTCTATATTATCTATATTATCTAGCTGTAATCTTAAATAAACATTGCAGGCTCGATTGGAAACAATCTAATCTAACTTCTTACCACTGCAGGATACTTGCTCGCAACGTGTAAAGGAATGTGAAGAAATATATAGAATATTCAAGGTATTGTGCTTTCGACAAAATACATAATACAAATAGTGAACAGCATACAAAATATCCAAAAATATTGCGCTTTCGATCGAATTATATTTTTCAACGGGCCCACAGTCCACTGATCACAGTTTTGTAATAAGGATCACCTAAAACAATCTCGTTTCCCTCAATACCAAAAATACAAATTTACAGAAAAGTCCGTGGTCTACCAATCACAGTCACACAGTACACACACACACACACACAAACACATACAAACACACCTTATCGTCAGGTTGAACCACACACATCAGCACTTCAGTCTCTCCCACTCTGCCTTTGCTTTTCGTTTCGTCACGTGCAGTCAGTACTCTCTCTCGGTTTATGCACACAAGACGAGTTTACTTTCAATTGGTAGCGTTCATTGTCAGTCGGCGATCGCGGTGACCGCTGGCAGAATAGACAGATCTATCCGGTTCTCGTAGTATCACTGGATAATGTCATGATGTGCGAACAGACGGAGGACTGCCACGCCTGGCTTGGGCCGCTGGTCACCAAGGTGAGCTCTATTCTCGGCAAAGGTTTCGAGGACGTACGCTATGAGGTGTCGATTCCAACCGATTTTCTCTTCAATTCGAATCTATCCTTCGTTAATGTCGTCTCGAACGCAAGTCCCGACGACGACGACGACGACGAGGCGAAGAAGAGAGCCAAGTCGGCCAATTTAGTGGTGAAGAAACTGCCGTCAGAAATACTGCAAAACATGACCAGATCCAGGGAACAATTTCACAACGAGATATTGTTTTACCAAAAGTACGCCCAATATTACGATCGGGCACCTCGTTGCATCTACGCCACGGGGGAACTGTCGCCGTCCAACTGGGTGATTGTTTTGGAGAACGTGGCCATCCAACGTGGCTACAGTGTGTGCAAATGGAAATACGACACGCCACTGGAGTACACGTTGGCCGCGTTCCGAGAGATCGCGCGGTTCCACGCGATAGCGTACGCGACGAAGAGGACTCGCGAGAAGGAGTTCTTCGATTTCGTGAACGTCATTGAAGAGATCAGGTTCTACCCGAAGTCGATATACAGCTGCATCATCAATGGAACCGCGACAAGATCCCTCGACTTCCTTCGCAGGCAAGGTTACGACAAAGAATTCTGCGACAAATTCGAAGCTCGATGTGCGAACACGTTCGAAGACTTGTTCTTGAAGTCCATGGAGATTGAGGAGCCCCTTTCCACTCTGTGTCACGGCGACTTCACGATCAATAACATATTGTTCAAGAAAGAGAGTGACGAGCTGAAAGTCATTTTTATCGACTTTGCGATGGTACGCTACGGGTCACCGATTTTGGATCTGTCTACGTTCCTGTGTATGCACTGTGCCAGAGACTTGGACAAAGTTATGTTGGACAATGTTCTGAGAGTATATCACGATTCCTTGGTACAGTGCCTCAAGGAGAATGATATAGACGTGGGGGATTATTCGTACGAAGCTTTGTACGAGGATTACAAGAAGAGGGGTCTATTTGGATTTTTCATTGCCACGTACTACTTAGCGATACAGATGGGCAAGTTTGATGGAAAGACGGAAGATTTCGCGAAATTAGACTGGACAGAGTTGCCAGTGACATTGCTTCAGATCGGTGGAGAAGAAGTTGACGAAATTTTGGCGAATATGTTGTTGAAATTAAAGGAATTTGGATGTCTCGATTATATATTGTGACCTGTTGGTCATGTCAAGTCTTCCAGAAATCGATGAAATCAAACGAATGCGATTTTTATTATTGAATGGAAATGTTATTTGGAAATAATGGAAATAAATTCGTATTTGGAAATTCATGACAATTTTTATTCTGGGAATTTTATCTGTGATAAATTTAGTAATTGATCATCGACTATCGTTAAGTTTCGCGATTGAACATCGATTGACGATTCGCTGAAGAATCGAATTTGAAGTGTACTTAGTCGCTACGAAACATTAGATATAATCAAGTTGGGAAATGACAATGAAATTATTTTGAAAAATATTACTGTCTGATGAATAATCTTTGTATAAATGTTGACCACCGGGTGTGTTACTCACAGTTGGTGACGAACGAACAGAAATTCGTATCATATGAGAATTCGCGACTTTTTTTACCAGACATTTTTTTTTATCATTAATATTAAGGATAATTGCTTGTTATAAACATTAATTAATAACCTATGAATTATTCATCAAATAATGCATGATAATGGAGTATCTTCTCACTGTATGCATTGTAAATTACGATCGTTAATCGATGACAACTCTGTTGTTGCTTTTAACGTTTCGAAAGTGCACACACACGATAATATGCAGATACGACGACGTTATGCGTTTTATAATAAAAAGAAAAAATATGATATAATCAGAGAAACACTTTAGAATATTCGAGAAATGAGACCTTGGAAAAACAATATTCGATAAATGGGACATAATTTTTACTTGTCGATAATAAAAAAAAAACGTCGAAAGCATTAGCGTTTATCTCTTTAACTGCATTTATGAAATATACGAGTAACAAGTAAAGGTTCAAGTTCCGAAAATATAACAAATTCAAAAAATCACAATATCACAGAGAGGTATCCTACGCGAGATCTAATGCCTATAATTATCCTCGTAGTCCCTAGAATCTTGTAATTCGTACATTCTTCAAAATCGAATTTCCACCGAGGTCACGTAGCTGTACTTCGTTTACGCGAACTCCATTCGTTCGCACGAAACTGTTTACAGTGCGCGATTAAACGAGCCGTTACTGGCTGAATCTACTTACATCCGGACACAACGCGAACGAAAAATTATACGAACTCCGACCACATAAATCCTCTGTCTCCCCCGACAAATTCACGCAAATGAAGTTTCACCGTAATTACACGTCTAACCGACGAACTCTCACTCTGGCGCTAATCTCTTCTCGAGACAATCCTCGCGAACGAACCCACCCATATCGAACGACATACCGTGCGACGTTTCGAAATTTCGAAATAATAAAAAAAAAAAAAAACGTTAATCCCTTAAAGTTGCCGCTGCAAAATCCACGAGTACGCGCAGCAACGAACTTGCCCGATGGTGTCGGGGAAAAAGATCTTGTCATCAAATCGGGGAGAGACAAGAACGGGCACGGCGTGTTCTTCGGAGGGATACACGGAATAGGAAACGAGCGCAACAGCGCGAGTAAAAGGCCGGTTTGGAAGAACCAGCGCGCGTACACCAGCTGCGTGGGTTTGCCATACTGCAACGTACGTGTGTATATAACGGCTGCACATGCATAGCTGGATATGAAGCTGGCTGGCACACGAGGCGAGTGGGTACGATGCGCGAAATTATTCTTTCGCCTATATGCAAGTTACGGATCTGCCTTTCAAATGGAGGTACTCCGGCGACGCGCGGAAAAACTTTGTCATTTCCATATATTTCGCCGAGGAGTGACAGCCAGCCACACGTCTCCCCCGGGAAATTCACTTACGCTCTAACCTGAATTTTAAGCCCGTTAAATTTTGCTCGCCATCGGCGCGGCATCGCGGTTCTGACTCGCGTAGCCGCGTGTCTTTGCGGCCGGAAGAGGAAACGAGCGGCTGCAACTTGCTTGGCGAACTTGCACGAACATTTTTCGTTTCGTCGCGTTTGGAACAGGATTGAAACCTGCGTGACCTCCGAGAGTTACCTCTCGCGTCGCGATGAATCGCGCAGAGGGAAAGGATTTGGAAGAGCGATCGTTGAAATGGCAGAATTAGGCTTGTCAACTTTTGAAGGTTATTAAGTGGTTACGTATTTTTTTGAATGACTGCAAACTAAGGAAAATTAAACCTTCCTTGGAGATAAAGTTAAAAGTTTCATTAAGAAAATAACGTATATTTTACCACATGTTAATGGTTGTTAATAATAGTTGTCTGAACGTGTAATTTGCATCGTGAATTTTCGACTCTTTGTTGATTAAAAAAAAAAAAGAAAAAAATGGAATGAAAATTGCATAAATCAGAATTTCGCTTCGTCAGGTTGTAAATAATAGCCTTGAGAATATTAAAATTGATTCGATACTCTTTTAAATATCTCTGGTATCGATTTCGAAAGTTTCATTCCGACAAAAAAAAAAAAAAAACGCTTTTTAAAATTTCAGTTATTCGTTGCCATTACATGCCGACCAAAGGTCGAAGTTAATTATTTCATAAAGTATTCTAGAAGAATCGCAATTTTTGGAAAATCGATTTTTCTAATTTCATGAAAGCTATGTAAGCCCCTTAAAATTATCAAAAATTGTATACCGAATGACCAGCTTGTAAGTAAAAATGTATTCATATCTTTAAACACACACCTTTTGATATATTGTATTAATATTATTTTCTTCGATCCTCTAATAAATAAAATAAAATATACGTCCCAAATATTTCAAATTAGTTGTACGATTGTTACTTACACAGACTTAAACACTCAGAGGGTTAAAAGTACAAGTTGTGATAGGAAAACGTATGACTTCATTAACCTGATAACTGTCATTTCTTATCCCAAAAACTTTTGAAATTGATAATTAATTAAAGACAAGTTGGTCGTGGTCTGATTAACCTTAGACTTTGTAAATGAAATTATGGTGTAATTTGTCTCCAATGAAAATGATACAGAATTTACAAGAAAGAAAAATCATTGTATTAAAAAATCATTGAAATCTGTAAGATAACATACAATGTATGTTTTTCACAGAAAAAATTTAATCTCTTGAAAAATCTTGAAAAATCACGTATCTTTATTTATCTTAAGAAAATAACATATGTATGTGTCTAAACGTTCAAGATCTTGATTTATGTATTATTTTATTTCATATTTATCAGAAATTATTTTATCTCCCGAAATTATAAGCTAAGATTTATTTATTTTTCGACAAGATGCATCTTCATTATGAAATTATGAGTAATGATTATCAATATTATAATGATTAAATTGATTTTTTTTATCAGATTTTAATCTCTATATTTACACAAACAAATAATGCATATACATAGATACATTTGATACTAAATAGGATCGAAGAGAAGAACAAAAAACTTCTGATTGTGAATTTCATTTTAAACTCTTCTCATTCTCTTTAATTTACATAATCTGAAGGAGATTTTCCTTTTCAATTAAATAAACTCTGGCCAGAGACATTAAGGAACACAAAGTTGATTGCATTTATAATTCAATTTAATTTCGAACTTATAACTTGCTGCGTACATTTTTCCATAATTATTTTTCCTTTTCCTGACGACGATATTTCAACAGAATAATGCGTCCGTACCCGAAGATTATACACCGAGACACAACAAGGTTATAACATTCAATTGTATTTTTAGAGACGATATCTGTAATTGCTTGGTAACTAAGTATTTCGTTGAAATGTGATACTAATATCTTGGAAACGAAGGATAATGAAAAGTTTTTGTTAAATAAATCATTCCTTTGTTATTTGCTATTGCCATTTACATAAAAACTGCCTCGGTGATAAACTATACATTTAAAAAATGTGTCGCTCGTGACTCATTATTTGAAGTAAAGTATACACTGAAAACGATATTCTTTTTTTTCTACAAAATTTTGTTTCATACAAAATATTGTAAGCACACGTTTTAATAAAATCTAATTAAAATTTCTTTCATGATTTCTTTCATCAATGAGACCAAGCTCTATTTGTATTTGACAATCTGTAGTTTCCAAACCAAGTGGGAGTTTAATAGAAATAATGATTGAAGTTTCGTCAGACAGACAATGATACATCGAAGTCAAAAAATACAGCGGTTGCACGATGATGTGAAATATGAAGTGTTATTTGCTTTTGAATCTCTCAAGTGTGTTTCCTGCTCGTATCTTGATAAGATAGTTTAATTTACATTAATTCTTTTTGCGAATTAGCAGAAACGCTGTTATCAAGTTTTGTTTATTACCTAATGTTTATCAATTTATTTATTAGTTTTACCAAACTGTTTATCGACATCGTCGGTTTCGATTTATATAATCAAGATGATGCGAACAGAGGACGCAAAAGATTTATATCTCTTCAAAAATCGCTCGTACAGCACTCTCAAGCAATTCCGTGTAAATATTAAATCGCACACAACGTTACACCTTCCTGATTTTAATTTCATCGGTAATTGAATGATACCATTGAGTGCATTTTGCAAATAAATCGCAAGGTATATGGAAGGAGCAATGCTTAATTTAATTAATTACACACGATATACGTGAAATTTAAATCTCGCGACAGTAATAATTACTTTGATCCGCAATTCGAAATTCTTTGTAAAACAGTTCGAGAACTTTGCAAACAAATTACGCTTTATATTCAATTACTGAAAGAGTGGTACATCTTTTGTATTTTACTTTATCTTTGCTGCGAATAATTATTAACGCATGTTAACGACCATTTATTGAAACAACGAGCACAATTTTCTACGTGTTTGACATTTTAGTTCCTCAGACAACTAAATGTACAATGTACAAATGAAAAATATTATATAAAATATTCGATTTAGACTGGTCGAAGAAGAACGTGCGCGAAAAAATTGTAATTTGAAAGTTTCGGGGAATTGTGATGAAATCGAATTTAGTTGTGGAAACTAACGTAAAAATTGAAAGTTACAACGAGTTGAAACCAAGATGCGAGGGAGAGATATAGAAATGAATAAGAAGGGGAATTCACGTCGTACTGAAACGTAGATTATCGGAAATCTCGACTTGAAATTTAGATGGAATCTACGTGTCGCCCTCGCCGTCACAACGTAAACCAATCGTGTTTCCCTGGGTTAGCTTTATTGACGTACGTCACTTTCACAAATATAGAAATGTGTCGAAAAAAAAATAAAAAAACATACTACGTTGGTTTTACCTTTGTTTCATGAATACATGAAATGTACATACATATTTACTACAGTGAATATAACGTCTCTATAAATAATATAAAAATCCGACAAAGATGATTCTGACATTGTCCAATATAGAAATTACGTCGATTGTCTGAACTAATTGGGAGACAAACAACCGTTTGGATAAACATTCTTTCGGATAATTGGTTTGAAAGACTCAAACTAGAAATTAAACAATTTTCAAATGTTTATTACGTAAAAAGATACACATCTAAGTCACTAGAAATTTCTATTATTTCTTCATTTGGTATGCAATTCGAGAGTTTTCTCTTGATCCATTTGTAAGTACTCACTTATGTACACAGCTTGATCTAATTTATCGTAATTTGCTATTTTCGAGCTTCTGTAGAGACGAAAATTCCTCTTGTTATCCAAGTCTTTCTTTCAATAATATTAAAATTTCGCTACTTTCAATATCGTTAAACTTAAATTTTTCCTACATTACGTTCTACGGCTTTTATTAGGTTCGATAATATCTAGTTTAGCTTTCAATTTCAGCATCACACATTTTCTTTTAATCTGAAGTGAAATCTGTAACGTAAAAAAGTTTAATTAAACCAGATACTAGATAGACCATTTGAGACAAAAAATATGTGTTCCAAAATGTAAACATTGCTAAGTGTATAGTTTAAATAGTTACGTATATATACACACATATATATTAGGTGATCCAACATTCAGATAATCGAAATTTGAATGATCGACGTTTTGCTGTATGCTTTCATTACGAGCGATATACGATCAAAGTATAAAAGACATTTACGTGACACGGTGCATCAGGATCTGATCGACTAAATTGGTTAAAATTGCAAATTCAGTTAATAATATATTTATTAACCCCTTAATAGCGACTAAATAGACAACAATATGCTGGGAAAATAACGCGCGCGCGATGATCCGTTGTAATTATGTATGTACTTTTGACGTTGATTGAACGCATGTTCAACTCATATCAATTTTGATATCACAAAATGCTTTGATAATTGACGTAGATCGTGTCAAACAAATTGCAAACGACTTTCTATCTAACTGCTGTCTAATATATAACTAAAAGAAAGTTTACAAAATCGAATTGTAATTGACAAGAGAAATGGGCATTGCATGTTCTAAAATAGACGAGTGTTTGGTATAGAAAGAATGATTAAATTTTAATATTTTGACCATGATTTGTAAAAAAAACCGAGAAATTTCTTGGGGCTAGAATTGAAATACAAAAATTCAAGGATCGTAGCTGGATTAACTTAATCCTATGTTATTATAATCTATCAAAATGTACCAATTAATTAAATTCTTTTCACCTCTTCTCAAAAATCTTGGAACATACAATGCGATACTGGGACATTTGTTTCAAATCTCGAGAAATGCCAGTACGTTGCAATTCTATTATAAAATACACGTGCAATTGGGAAATTATATTATCTATAGCTGCTGAATATTCAAAATAAAAAAGTGTCCTAGAACTTTAGACGTCCATATATATCTACATCTGCTCTCTACAAATACACAGGAATACCCGATTACAAGCGGAAGAAACTCGAATTCATATCGTTAATGTAACATCGAGTCACGTTTGTAATCAAATCGACGAAATGAAAGATGCTCCGAGGAACGAAAATCTTACAATTAGTACATTCAATGAAGATAAGTTTTGAACGACAGTAAACTGTATGCGATCATTCATGGAAGCTACACGTTCACCCAACCAAAAGTACACGATGCCACTTAAGAAGTCAGCCTGAAATTTCAGAGACACTAAACAAGATTTACAATGATGTGATATCCTCCTCGGAGTAAATATTTTCTTCTTTAAAGAAAAAGAAAAAGTTAGATAACTTCTATGAAAATAACAGACAATTCACTACAACTGAGATATCATCCTCCTGGCAGTGAAAAACGCGCGACACTGAAATTAAGCTGAAACCTATTTACAAATGCATTAGCCAGAGTCTTGGAGTTAAGGAATGGAACGCGACCGCGTTCACCCACCGTATTCGGTTGGTACAAATTAGCAGCCGTGGCATGATAACACGATCCAGCTTAATCCGTTTCGCGCACTATGCGGCTTGTTGCTGCGGCAATGCAAACCTTAACAAGGACGGGGCTATGTTACATCCGATGTAAACGAATCGTTGAACAAACAAACAGCCTGATAGGGTGGAACTGGCTCTCCAACCATTCTGTACCATGAGCACACCGATTGCCTACAGTCACGCTAACTGCGCGTCCCCCTTGCACGTACGATACAACCACGCCGCGGTCGAACTTGTCGCTTAGACATTTATCAGTTCACTGGGAAGTTCATCCGTTAAAATCGATTTTGCACGGGCCGTATGGGAGCTTCAACTTTTCGAACGATCGAGAGACTCTCGCCCTTCTCCTCGCCGCTTGGAAGAATTAGTCGAGCGAAGGAGACAATGGGAGAGAGAGAACGGGGGTAGAAGAAGATCGACGTGAGCCGCCATAATCGAGCTTTGTAATTACAACTACCGTTAATATCGCCGGGGGAAAAAAAGTTGCCAAAGTTTAAGTTGTTTAAGATCTTGTATAATATTTGAGGGTTTCATGTTACGTGTATGTTCACATTGGTTCACATTGTTCTGATTGACTCTGATTTTTAAAACAATCGAAATCGATCAAATTTGATCTGTTCTCAAATTGTAACCACTTCCCGCGAATTGTTTTATTATTTTACTTATGGTTTTTTTTTTCTTTATTATTTTTATTATTGAATTATTTTGTTTTATAGTGTGTTTCGTATATTTTGTATAGTGGTTTCATATGGATAAATTCACCGCGGAAATGAGTATTTTGCGAGAACAGTGTGTAAAAAATGACGCTGATGTTTTCTGTTGCATTTGTGGGAAAATATACTGTTGCGAAAGAAAGGAAAAATATCACGGACTTTCGTGAAACGAAGGCATATTTTGGACGTCAAAAATTGGACAATAAAACTAACAATGGGTACCACATTAATTTAGAAAAATTAACAATATATTCGTAATTAGGAGCTCCTTTACTTATTCAAAAGGCAGTGAATATTGAAACTGTTGTAATTTTGCGAAAACGATAAGCCTGATCTCGTTTTAAAGCTTGAAACCTCTATTTTCAAAGTCGTTCGTTTTATGCTAAGGCGTTCTTGCGTCACACACCGACTGTGCAAAACAAGTGGAAATAGTTTTCTTCTCGAAAATAGATTGTCATGGCTTGTAAAAATAGCGAGCAATCTTTTTCGAGCGCGACCGAATCCGCGATCGATTTGAAAATTGAAGCCTCCTCTTTGTAACTTTATGTGTGACCTTTTCTCGCCATTTTATTGAACTTTGAGCTATTTGGCTTACATGACGAAGATTCAAGGAATCGTAACACTTGCATTCGTTTTCAAAGATCAATCAATTGACGAGGAAAGATTATATATTGTAGCAGGAGTGTATGACAATTTATACCGTTTCGGAGGAGAAAAGTGTCTTCACTCTCAAACATCTCTGAGTAAAATGAACGATGCATGTTAAAAGTAGAGGCTTCGTGTTTTAAAACGGATCCAAGTTTATTATTGAACGAATTAAAATTTCTCGATATTTAGCGTCAGAATATTTATGGGAGTTCCTGCAGAGTCAATCACGGAAGTCGGTATGTACATACATATGTCTGTGAAATTTTAAATTTACAAGTACCTGAAATATTTTATAGATGTTAATTTTGTTACGAAACCGAGTAAAATGCATGTCGAGCGATAATGTTGACTAACACATATATTTTCGACTATTTCAAGGCTGACGAGAAATAATAATACGCGTGTCATTAAAATAATAATACATGTTACGAGCGTGACAGAAAATGATAAATATCTGATTGTAATACTAATTGTACGTAATATTAAATGTATTTATGCAATTTCATGCAATTTTATTCTTCATCGGGTTAAATCGAACATGACTTTGTTAGAATAACTCATTAAACATTTCCTTTAGAACTTTAGATTTCTTAATTTCAATACGGCGGCTTGACTAACGAGCTAGCTGGTTCTCCAAAAATTTATTGGTTAAGATTAAAATTATTAAAATTATAAAATTATTTGTAGGATAAGATTAAAATAAAAAAAAGCTAAACTATAAAAGGATTGAAAAGATTAAAAAGCTAAACTATAAAAAGATTAAAATTATAAAATTATTTATAGGACATTCACAACACCTTCGATATTTGTTCAAAAATACGTATAAATTAATCAAGAACAGAGATGAATCCGAATAATTAATTTAAGGGGTTGGAAAATAGCAGGAAATAGAATGTTATTACGATACAATGAGAATATATTTAATTTGTTGATTCTTGTTCCATGTCGTCTATCAGATTCTTCGCGTAAAATCTCCAAAACGTTTAGATTCTTTGAACGTGTAAAATTCGCAAGTGTAGATGTTGATTTTCGTGACTGACTTTAGTCGCGGTGTTTCCAGTTTCAACGAAGTTTTCAGAAAACTTTTCGAGAATCTTCTTGTTATAAATACAAAACGGCCCTCGTAAACAAACCGTCCCTCGAGGTGTCTAAGTTTCAACGAAATTAAGAGTCCGATAATGAGATCTCGTCGGAGAACGAGGCGTGGAGGGGTTGGAAAATAAGATTCAACGTGATTCGACGAGATTGATGAAAATATTGAGTAACGAGGGACTGTGCGGCAGTGGAGAATTGAATTTAACTCAATGAACTTACGGGGACTATCGAAAATCGATTATG